ACTTAATTACCATCATATGTACCTTCATAACCCATTGTATCTTCGTGTATATAAATATATACACAATATATATAAATGAATGAATCAACTTTTCCACCACGATGTTGGCGGCTGTGAGGGCGAGACACTGTGGGGTAGCATTGTGTGTCCGCCACATCCTGGCTACAGTGGCGGGAAGGACTTTTTGATCCTTGTGGCGCTCTGACACAACGCTCAGGTTCCCTCCTCTTCCCCACACCGCCCTAACCTGCCGCCGGGCGTCCCAGATTTGGAATCAAAATGACACTTTCAATCATTGCAAACTTCACAAATTCCGTTGATTGGAAGGTTGGAGAGACTTGGGCTGCTGCTAACTTACTTTGTTGACGCATATGGTCGTTGTTGCTTGATCATCACTTGATCTTTGTTGCTCCAGGCTGACCCCGCGAGCCCTGACACCCGGGGGCCCTGACACCCGGGAGCCCTGACACCCGGGAGCCCTGACACCCGGGAGCCCTGACACCCGGGAGCCCTGAAACCCTTCAGAGGCTGATAGGTCAGGTCGAACACTTCACGTGTATATAAAGAGTTATAATGACGATGGACCAGCTATACGGAAGAAATTAAATATAATTAAAAAGTTATCGTGTGTAATTAGTTCACACGAGAATAAATACGGCTGCTGTCTACTGCTCGTTTATTAGACTTGTATTAATGACATAATGCCTGGAGTCTGTCTGAGGCTCCGGAGGCCTGCTGGGCCGCCCTTGACCGCGTCAGGATAACCATTACAGGTGCTGGGCCGCCCTTGACCGCGTCAGGATAACCATTACAGGTGCTGGGCCGCCCTTGACCGCGTCAGGATAACCATTACAGGTGCTGGGCCGCCCTTGACCGCGTCAGGATAACCATTACAGGTGCTGGGCCGCCCTTGACCGCGTCAGGATAACCATTACAGGTGCTGGGCCGCCCTTGACCGCGTCAGGATAACCATTACAGGTGCTTGGCCGCCCTTGACCGCGTCAGGATAACCATTACAGGTGCACCACACTACACCATACCTCTGGCCCTTGTTCTCCATGCATGGCTCCGAGTGACTACCATCTTTCAGGGCCACTCAGAAGAGTCGTAAAGTGGAAGACATTCTCCCTCTGATGAAGAGGTTTGAGAGAGCGAGGCATGAGTGGCTCGGCAAACAACCAAAAAAATTCTTCTCGTGCAGAATTTAAAGCATTATTCTATCCCTGGAAGACGTCGCAAGATGTCGGGAGACTTAGCTGACGAATAAAAAGCTTCTTTGCCCTAAGCTTCAGTAAATATTACCCTCCTTAGCTTTCGTTGTAATCATTTGACCTGTCTTGTTTTTATGGAGTGAAGCAACACTAGCTCTTGGGAAACTTAATCTTTCCCCCCCCCCCCCCCCCGTTATCTTGAGATGATTTCGGGGCTTACCGTCCCCGCGACCCGGTCCTCGACCAGGTATATGAACTGTTTAGTGGAGTACGAATCCTCATGGAGTGTGTATATGGACCACTCCAATATACAGTACAGACGCAATATGTAAATTAGAATGCAGCTTTACATATACGGAACTCCTCGATGCACAATGCAGACCCACTTTGAGGCTTATCACAAGAGCCTGGAATTACCTATGCATCTGTCCCCTCTCTCTCAGATCGACATAGCTACACCACTGTTAAAAATAAAGTCACGTACAACTGAACATCGAGGAAGCAAGCATCCATCGACCCCCTCTTCCCCCCCCCCCCCTGACCCCGACCCCTTACACACACGGGGCCTCGCGGCTGGGTGGACAGCTCTCTGGAGTCTTAGTCCTAAGGGTCCGGGTTCGATTCCCGAATAAGTTTAAAATAAAGTAAGTACAGAGTTCAGCTTCTGAAGAACGTCGTCGAGGGCAGCGTCATATTGCGTCGCCATTTCAATTATGTTTCTTATAGACGCAAGTTTTCTCTTTCAACATTCAATACATCTTTGAAAAGTTAAGTAAACGACATGATGCCAATATATCATTTTATAAACATTCAACACAGGGAGAGGTCTGTAGAGCCTTAATGAACAAGACGCAACTAACTTGTTCCACTCCCTGACTTGTACGGAAGAAGGTGAGGAAGGTCACGATGAGGAAGGTCACGGTAAGGAAGGTGACGATGAGGAAGGTGACGATGAGGAAGGTGACGATGAGGAAGGTGACGATGAGGAAGCTCACGGTGAGGAAGGTGACGATGAGGAAGCTCACGGTGAGGAAGGTGACGATGAGGAAGCTCACGGTGAGGAAGGTCTCTTCACGTCCCACGATCTCTGCAGCTATGGTCAGTGGCCCTCGGCCCAGACCTGCCTGAGGGCCTGGCACCAGTCAGCCCCACTCACCAGTTCACATTCCTCCCGCCCTTAAGCTTAAGCTCTTTAAGCAAGCTTAAACTATCTTAAGATAGTTCATCCCGCACATATCCTCGTTCGCAACATTTTAGCAACTCCTAACAAGTCTAACAACAAATATAACATGTAACAACGTTCAAATCCATCATTAAAATGTTATACCAATATGTCACAACTTTATTACAAGTCGTAACGAGCGACAAATAGGGACAGTTACGTTTTGTGTTTTCAGGGGATCGTAGCCCCCCCCCCCCCGGCCGCTCGTTTGGGCGATATTACGAGGGTTGGGGGGGGTGCGGCTCTCCTGGGGGGGTTGGGGGGGACCTGTGAGTCAATGTGTCCCATGTGCTTTATTGGAGACGGAGTCCTTGTGGAGGGGGAGCTGGGAGGGGGAGCTGGGTGGCGCCAGCACCCGTCGTCTGCCTTGTGTCACACCCGCCCTCCCTCTGCCACACCCTGCACCACACCCACCCTCCCTTACACCCCTCTGCCACACCCTGCACACACCCTCCCTCCCTTACACCCCTCTGCCACACCCTGCACCACACCCGCCCTCCCTCACACCCCTCTGCCACACCCTGCACCACCCCTCCCTCCCTTACACCCCTCTGCCACACCCTGCACCACACCCGCCCTCCCTCACACCCCTCTGCCACACCCTGCACCACACCCGCCCTCCCTTACACCCCTCTGCCACACCCTGCACCACACCCGCTCTCCCTCACACCCCTCTGCCACACCCTGCACCACACCCTCCCTCCCTTACACCCCTCTGCCACACCCTGCACCACACCCGCCCTCCCTCACACCCCTCTGCCACACCCTGCACCACACCCTCCCTCCCTTACACCCCTCTGCCACACCCTGCACCACACCCGCCCTCCCTTACACCCCTCTGCCACACCCTGCACCACACCCGCCCTCCCTCACACCCCTCTGCCACACCCTGCACCACACCCGCCCTCCCTCACACCCCTCTGCCACACCCTGCACCACACCCTCCCTCCCTTACACCCCTCTGCCACACCCTGCACCACACCCGCCCTCCCTCACACCCCTCTGCCACACCCTGCACCACACCCGCCCTCCCTCACACCCCTCTGCCACACCCTGCACCACACCCACCCTCCCTTACACCCCTCTGCCACACCCTGCACCACACCCGCCCTCCCTCACACCCCTCTGCCACACCCTGCACCACACCCTCCCTCCCTTACACCCCTCTGCCACACCCTGCACCACACCCTCCCTCCCTTACACCCCTCTGCCACACCCTGCACCACACCCGCCCTCCCTCACACCCCTCTGCCACACCCTGCACCACACCCTCCCTCCCTTACACCCCTCTGCCACACCCTGCACCACACCCGCCCTCCCACACACCCCGCTGCCACACCCTGCACCACACCCACCCTCCCTTACACCCCTCTGCCACACCCTGCACCACACCCGCCCTCCCTCACACCCCTCTGCCACACCCTGCACCACACCCTCCCTCCCTTACACCCCTCTGCCACACCCTGCACCACACCCTCCCTCCCTTACACCCCTCTGCCACACCCTGCACCACACCCGCCCTCCCTCACACCCCTCTGCCACACCCTGCACCACACCCTCCCTCCCTTACACCCCTCTGCCACACCCTGCACCACACCCGCCCTCCCTCACACCCCTCTGCCACACCCTGCACCACACCCTCCCTCCCTTACACCCTTCTGTGGGAAATTCCTAGCAGCTTTAATTCTTTTTAATTCTGTGAATACTCAAATATTTATTTTTTAATTGACTTTAATATGATATTTTATTTGATTATTTTTCTTAGTTCTTAGTAATAAGTTAGTTAATTAGATAGTAGTAAGTATGTAAGTGGACTGTATGTACTGATTCAGCTGCTTGAATTTATCACACATAATTGGAGGGACAATTTGTAGCTTAAACCACTTTGAGATTCTAAGAGATTTTATCTCAATTCTGAGATTGAGATATCTTCATTCTAAGGTCTTCATCCTTAATGTGATGCGATGCACCAATGAGTGTGGAGCTTTTAGTACATGCGTATCCTAGAAGGTTCACACATTAGTGCAATCTCTTAATCGCTCTCAATACCTCAACTGTACTCTGTGACATCACAGGCAATATTTGGGTACCTTTGCTCGTTTTTTTCGCTCATTGCTCATATTTTCTGTTATTCAATTCATAAGCCCTAACAAACCATCCTAACCTAACTTATTATATAACAAACAAATACATTTTACAGACCAGACGGGAGACATCTCCCGTCACGCAGGGTGCAGCCGCACCTCCACAGATCTCCAGTATCATCTATTGATACTGGTAATGGCTCAAAAAGGCCTCCACTTGCGGGCTATTCATGCCCGTGCCACCTTTTAGGTGGCTTAATCTTCATCAATCTTCGTCTTTTACAGACCAGTTCAAGTGTATAAATAGAAATGAAAGGGGATGTTAATAGGGAATAGACCTACTACAGCTTATATAATAGAGGCAGTTGATGTTTAGGCTATAGGGTATAGAGATCCAAACTTAGCACGCACTCTTTTTGATGATACGTGGCCTCCTTACCAGAATCTTAAGATTAACGAGAACCGTTCCTTCTATCCCTACAGCTACATCACTGCTAGCCAGCGTCTTGACGCTGACTGTGATCAGCGTGGGCCGGTTTGTGGCTGTGATGTTCCCACTGCACGCCCGCACCTCTCCGGACCGCGCCCGCCGGGTCATCGCCGCTGTCTGGATCTCCTCCGCCCTTCTCTCTTGTCCCACGCTCTTCTACCGACAACTTTTCAGCGTAAAGGTGAGATGGAAACTTTGAATAATTACCACACACACACACACACACACACACACACACACACACACACACACACACACACACACACACACACACACACACACACACACACTCTAGAAAGACGACGGGAGAGAGGGGACATGATGGGAACGTATAAAATACTCAGGGGGATTGATAGAGTGGACATAGATGAAATGTTCACACGGAATAGTAACAGAACGAGGGGACATGGGTGGAAGCTGGAAACTTAGATGAGTCACAGGGATGTTAGGAAGTTTTCTTTTAGCGTGAGAGTAGTGGGAAAATGGAATGCACTTAAAGAGCAGGTTGTGAAAGCAAATACTATTCATAATTTTAAAACTAGGTATGATAGGGAAATAGGACCATAGTCATTGCTGTAAACAACCGATGCTCGAAAGGCGGGATCCAAGAGTCAATGCTCGATCCTGCAAGCACAAATAGGTGAGTACAAATAGGTGAGTACACACACACACACACACACACACACACACACACACACACACAAGGGGACACAGGTGGTTCGTGGGGACACGAACAAGGGGACACAGGTGGAAACTTAGTACCCAGATGAGCCACAGAGACGTTAGAAAGAATTTTTTCAGTGTCAGAGTAGTTAATAAATGGAATGCACTAGGAAGTGATGTGGTGGAGGCTGACTCCATACACAGTTTTAAATGTAGATATGATAGAGCCCAGTAGGCTCAGGAATCTGTACACCAGTTGATTGACAGTTGAGAGGCGGGACCAAAGAGCCAAAGCTCAACCCCCGCAAGCACAATTAGGTGAGTACACACACACACACACACACACACACACACACACACACACACACACACACACACACACACACACACACACTCTTTGGGACCAAACAGCCAAAGCTCAACCTTATGAAAATTCAATTTAGCAATGTAAACAGAAACATTGAAATGGAATTGTAACATATTAGTATAGCATGTGTGTTGCTCTTACATGCAACAGATGGCACTATTTGTCAAGAAAGGCATAGTTTTACCTGTCACAGGTGTGGCATCAATACTTATATTTACGAAATGAACGGTATGGTAAACAACACAGCTCAATTCCAAAACAATGTCACACAAAATAATTCAATAAAAAATAAAATAAATCGAAATCTATGAAAATAAAATTTATCAATGCAATCGGAAACATTGAAATGGAATTCGTGACATTTACTATAGCGTGCATGTTGCTATTATGTGCAACAGATGGCGCTGTTTTTCAAAAACGCATGTTTTTACCTGTCACAGGGGTGGCATCTTTATAGTAGGTATATAAAAAGACGCGCCTATTCGAATACAACATTGTGTCAAAATTTCAAAGCAATTGGTGAAGAGGTTTCGAAGATTTACCTCACATGGAAAAACACATGAAAAACACAGTTTGTCAGAAAAAGCATGTTTTTTTACCGTCACAGACGTGACATCTATATAGTATGTATATAAAAACCTGGCCGGATGCGAATGGAACATTGTGTGAAAATTTCAAAGCAATCGGTGAAGAACTTTCGGAGATTAGCGATTTTGAACAAACTAACATTTCCATTATATATAATATATATATATATATATATATATATATATATATTTATATATATATAATATATATATATATATATAATATATATATAACATATATATAATATATATATAATATATATATAATATATATATAATATATATATAATATATATATAATATATATATAATCCTCTATTAAATTGCTATCAATTTTCCCCTCTACATATTTGATTAAGAATATATTTCAGTTTGTGTTAAGAATATATAGCAATAATGCCACTATAAGAGAGCCCGTCATTCCTCAGTGGAAGAACTTCACGACGTATCAGTGTGAGGAGTTCTGGCCCACAGACGGCCACTTCGACCCCCTGCTGAGCAAGTGTGTCATCACTTACGACCCCAAGAAGCACTTCTACATCTTCCTCACCATCGCCGTCTACTTCCTCCCGGTTGGCATCATGTTCATCAACTACAGGTGGGTCGTTAGAGGCCTCGGCATGCAGTTCGGCTGTTAGGTGACAGTTCGGCTGTTAGGTGATCGTCATTTTCCAAACGGTGTTTAGGTTTCAGTATGATCGTGTGTTCAGTCTTTCTTCATTTTTATTAAGGATTTTGTGTTTTAGGTTAATGATTTGTTTCGTTATAATAGAATTAAGGGACTGATGAGTGTAAGGTTTGAGTTGATGTGAGGATCCTACAGTCCTGCTTCACCTAAGGTCAGGTGACATCCACCACGTGCAGCCTACCACGTGTACCACGTAACATACCAGGTGCTGCCCTGCGTGTGTACCACACCACATACACCAAGAGTAAAAGGGAAGGTTCTCCAATAGGTAAAGGAGCATTTAATCAACGGGAAGCAGCGAGTAGCTGTGAGGGGGAGACATCAGAGTGGAGAGATGTCACCAGCGGGGTTCCACAGGGCTCTGTACTTGAACCCATCCTGTTTCTAATATATGTAAACAATCTTCCAGAGAGAATAGACTCATTCCTCTCAATGTTTGCTGATGATGCAAAAATTATGAGACGACTCAAGACAGATGAAGATAGACAGAGACTACAGAACGACCTGGACAAACTGGTGGAATGGTCTAGAAAATGGCTACTAAAGTTCAATTAAGGAAAGTGTAAAGTAATGAAATTAGGCGAAGGGAACAGAAATCTGATCATAAGGTGCCATCTGGGAGGTGAAATCCTGCAAGAGTCAAATAGAGAAAAAGATCTGGGGGCTGATATCACACCAAATCTGTCCCCAGAGGCCCACATCAAAAGGATATCATCAGCGGCATATGCTAGATTGGCCAACATAAGCACTGCCTTTAGAAATCTGTGTAAGGAATCGTTCAGGATCTTGTATACCACTTATGTCAGACCAATCCTGGAGTATGCAGCTCCAGCCTGGAGGTCATACCCAGTTAAGCACAAGACATAGTTAGAGAAGATTCCGAGAATGCCACCAGATTAGTCCCAGAACTGAAAGGTATGAGCTACGAGGAAAGGCTAAGGGAGCTAAACCTCATGTCTCTGGAAAACAGAAGAGTAAGGGGAGACATGATAACCACCTACAAATTCAGGTGGTTATCATTGCACACTCTCCCTCATGCACACGCTCCTTGCCCATCTCCCTCACATACACACTCCCCATCTCCCCCACATACTCCCTCCCCATCTCTCCCACATACTCCCCGTCACCTCACACACCTTCCCCATCTCGCCTCATCATTGTAAACATCTTCACATTATACCCATCTCCATTTACACCCTTCCCATCTCTAGGCACACATACTCTCCCCATATCCATCACTGCAACCATTCTCACTACACACTACATCACTGTAATGAACAGGTTGTGCTCTGAACACAAATATGTAATCTGAACATTCGTTTTGCTTGTCAGCTTCTGAATACACTAATATTTAAAGGAATGCTGAACTATGGACATTTGGGTTACACATTTCATATCGACCGACTTCATGAGAAGGGGGATGCATAGGTCAATCCCCCTTCAAGGGGCGCATTGAAATCCAACTCCTTTATCCCATATACTTATTCAATCTATTCCATGAAATCTGTTAAACTGTTTGATTTAGTAATTCTAGACAGAGCCCATGCCACTCACCACAACCCTCTTCCCAACCCTATCTCTCTATCCCTTTTATTTAGAGATAAACCTAGCTCTATTCCTTTCGCTCTATCTCTCCTACACCGAAAATTCTCCATCTTGTACCCATTGTTGTGGGTTGTGAACTGTTCCGCAAATTTCGGAACCATGTTTATATTCCTAACTCGCTTGAAAATCCTGATTATATTCTCATTGTTGCGCGTCTCTCTCTCTCTAGCGGGTGGAGATTGAGACACTAAGATCTGTCTTAGAAGGAAAGGTCCCGGATACTAGGTATCACCTTCGATATCTTTTTTCAGCGTTTTAATCAGGAATGTTTGTCCAGTGTGTGTGGTGCTACACAGCCTTCCCAGTTTGGTGCCTTCTATTGATAATTACTTACTACTAGTCCAGTCTGTAGTGTTGTGACCAGAGGTGTGCAATTGGGGCCTCGGCAGTGATGATATTCTGATATTCCATCAGAATATCAGCTGAAGGACGATATTCGTGAGAAAATCTGTAGGAGTCGTGAGAAGTATTCGAACCAACACATTGGGTACTCCCAAGCACACGGCTTAAACCACTAGGCCACGATATGCTGCAATAAGATTGGCGCTTCTGTTGTTGACATCACCTTTTATAAATGCTGCTTGCTTTATTTCATACAGTGATGAATGGCTGCGGCGGCCTGAGCTCGCTGCTAGCGATGACTCCCAAGTCTACCATCACAGCTCGCAACACTCTGGTCCATTGCTCCCCAGTTAATCTGAACTTGATTGAAATCTCACGGTGCTTGGCAACTCTGCCCAGGTTGATGCTTCTATCACTCCTTAGAGGATATTGATGGAAGGGATTGATATTCTGCCCATGTCAGGGTGTTCTGTGGTTCATGATGAGGCTGAAGATTGCGGCCACAGCTGCGCTCTCTTCCTATTTAAATGATGTTCACGCCATAGGCATCATAGCTATTTTCGTCCTCGATAGATATCTTCAAAATATCATATTCGTTGTATCCAACACTGCCACCACTCCTCCACTCCTTTTATTTTGTATTACCATTACCTTGTGTATTCACCTAGTTGTTCTTGCGGGGGTTGAGCTCTGCTCTTTCGGCCCGCCTCTAAACTGTTAATCAATCAACTGTAACTACTAATTAACTAATATTGTTTTTTCCCCTACCATACACACACCCAGGAAGCAGCCCGTAGCAGCTGTCTAACTCCCAGGTACCTATTTACTACTAGGTAACAGGGGCATCAAGGTGAAAGAAACTTTGCCCATTTGTTTCTGCCTGGTCCGTGAATCAAACCCGGGCCACAGAATTACGAGTCCTGCGCGCTGTCCACTCAGCTACTAGACCCCTATAGGTCTGGTAGTGTGTGTGTGTGTGTGTGCTCATTCACCTAATTGGGCCTGAAGGGTCGAGCTCTAGCTCTTGGACCCCACTTTCTAGCCGTTGGTTGTCTAATTCAATGACTCCTGATCTATTTCCCAATCATACCAGCTTTTAAAGTTATGAATGGAGTCAACCTCTACAATCTGCTCATTTAGGTCATTCACTACCCTCACGCTAAAAGAAAACTGTCTAACATCTCTATGACACATCTGAGTCTCAAGTTTCCATCCGTGCCCCCTTGTTCTGTTGTCATTCATTGTAAACATTTCGTCTGTTTCCACCTTGTCAATCCCTCTAAGCATTATATACGTCTGTATCATGTCCTACCCTCTCCCTCCTCCTTTCTAACGTCGTCAGTTCCGGGACGAGTCACGTTGCAAACTTCTGCACCTTTTCGAGCTTTCTTATGTGTTTCTTTAGATGGGGGCTCCTCGATGGGGCGGCAAACTCTAAGATTGGCTTCACATGGGCGGTATACAGTGATCTGAAAGCCTCCTTATTGAAGTTTCTGAAGGATGGTCTGACTTTTGCCAGAGTAAAGTAGGCGGCTGACGTTATGTGAGTCTCTGGAGTTAGGTTCGGTGTTATGTTCACTCCCAGGTCTTTTTCTCTAAACGTCTAATGGTTGTAGGGAGGTAGTTTCCCTTCATCATGTATCGGCCTTTCGGCTTCCCGGCTCCTGTTCCCATTTCCATCACCTTGCACTTGTTAGTGTTGAACTCTAGCAGCCATTTCTCGGACCATCTCTGCAACCTGTTCAAGTCATCCTGGAGAATGACTGTCTCAACTGAATCTTCTTCTGTCTCAACTCTCCTCATCATCATCTGTAAACATCTACATCATCATCATGTAGATGATGCAAAACAACAACAAGTTTTGCATCACCTGTAAACATTGACATAAAAGACTCAACTCCTGCAGTCAAGTCATTTATAGGAATGAAGAATATAATGGGTCCCAGCACCGATCCTTGAGGCACTCCGCTTGGTGTTACCTGTGATGCTTGTGAGCGACATTGGTCTATAGTTAAGTGCCTCTTCTCTATCTCCTCTCTCCAAAACTTTTGCAAAAGATTGGCACATCTTTTTGTGTGTGTTTATTTAATATTTGTATTTACTATTTGTGCTTGGAGAATCGAGCTATTAGTTCTTGGATTCCGCCTTTCGAGCCATCGGATGTTTACAGCAATCACTCCGGTCCTATTTCCCTACCATATCTAGTTTTAAAATTATGAATAGAGTTTGCTACCACAACCTTCTCCTCAAGTGCATTTCATTTTCCACTACTCTCACGCTGAAAGAAAACTTCCTAAAATCTCTGTGACTTATCTGAGTTTCCAGCTTTCACCCATATCCCCTCGTTCTATTACTATTCCGTGTGAATATTTCATCTATTTCCACACTGTCCATTCCCCTGAGTATTTTATTCATTCCTGTCATATCCCCTCTCTCCCTTTTTTCTAGTGTGTGTGTGTGTGTGTGTGTGTGTGTGTGTGTGTGTGTGTGTACTCACTCACCTATTTGTGCCTACAGGTCTGAGCGTTGGCTCTTGGAATCCCGCCTTTCTAGCCACCGGTTTGTTTAAAGCAATAACTCGTGTCCTTCTTCTCTGTGATACTTAGTTTTAAATCTATGAACAGTGTTTGCTTCCACAACCTGCTCCTTTAGTTCACTATTTCCCCACTACCCTCACGCATTGTACCTATACAATATGTAATACATCTGTTATACAATGTATGTACCTATAACCTGAGCTTGTAAAAGCATCTTAATCATCTTCAGTGGTTAAGTGTTTAATATCATACTAATTTCTATAGAAGCTATCTTACCCTGTCAAAGTAGGAGAGACATAGGTGTATGTATATATGTGGATATGTGTAGGTATATGTATATATGACTGAAAACTCATATAGTCGCATATAGTCCTGGGGACCATTCAGGCTTGTTCGCATATGTATATATATATATGTATATGTGTGTATTTATATACAGGATATGTGGAAGCTTGTCAGAATTGCATTTCACCTTTGTAAATGCATATTAATGACACTATGTACAAAAGACACCTAGAACATTATAGGACAAGAAGTAAATCTGTGTAATTATGTTTGTAGGTTATATTAGTATTCTAAAAGCACTACAATCACCTTCTGTGGGTTGATTGTTCAATAAATCACTAAACTATATGTTTAACAGATATACAACCCTGTCTATGGAGGACAGAAGAAAATATATATATATGCTGGTTAGCGGTAAATGTGTCGCTACGTTTGTGGAAGAAAATAGTAGGCATCCATCAGTCTCAGGAGACTATATGGAGTTGCACTCTGGTGTCGGCCTGGTCTGGAGTGGTCTCACCAGGGCGCAAAGCCAGGGTAGGTTGATTCGAGGGAGAAGCTGTTACCCAGGCAGCAGGTCCCTCGGAATAATACAAAAAAAAACACCTTAACTCTGTAAAGATCACAACGTTACTAACCATCCTGTTTCCCCCTACAACCTGGCTGGTGGTGCTGGCCGTGCACAGCCTGGTGGTGTGGAGGCTGTGGATGACGAAGCTGCCGGGCGAGCAGTCCCTCCCGGCCCGGAACACCGCCACCAGAGCCAAGAGAAAAGTGGTGAAGATGGTGTCGGTGGTGTTGCTGGTGTTCGTGCTCTGCTGGACGCCCCTCCAGACCATCATCCTCTACATCAGCTTCGTCCATGAACAGAGCTCTGTAAGTATTTGCATACGCTACCTGCCGCAGTCTATGCGGTAACGCTTGCCCCGAAACGCTGGGCGTACTCGTGCTTTTAGGCACAGTATATATACCAGCTCTATCTAGAGATCTGTTAATTTAGTCATCCAAGAATCATAGGAGACTATGAAGTTGCGCTCTGGTTGTCGGTCTGGAATTACAAAATAAATAAATATATCATAATAATAATAATAATTATAATAATGTTGTATTTAATAATTATTACTCTTCCTTCTGCTTGGTCTTGAAGGAAGCCGGCCTCGGGTGAAAGAGGGCTGCATGACGATCACTGTCTGGGACCTGTAGGTGCGGGACTTGGAAGTCCACCTCCTGGGGCTCGTGCGGCCCAGGCTCTGTTTCAGGAGGCTGGGGTCGTTCTTAATCAATCTTTTTGCTGAATACGTTCAATAGCGCTCCCTCCTGGGATTAACAGACGACTTTTGCACCACGTGGCACATGGTGGAATATACACAGGAGTGCTTGAGTTGTTCCTTACACAAACCACCACTCGCTGTTACAGGTAAACTGTCATTGTGCAAGTATTATACTTGCACATCAAGAGTACTTGTAGAAATCGGGGCAGCGTCACGTCGCTTGACTACACTGCCGCTGTCGGTTCGTACAATGTCCACTTCTCCTGGACATGAAAGATACCCCTACAACATTTAGCTTTGGGACCCGCCTTCACTGGAACAGGAACATTCATCAAACTCTTGGTGCTTGTTCACGGAACATGGGTGCCTTAACACTGCCTATAAACCCCCACCACAAGTCTCTCTCTCTCTCTCTCTCTCTCTCTCTCTCTCTCTCTTCTGAGACTTAACCTGACCTTTGCTACCCACCATTCTTACCCCGTCTTCCTTGACGGTACCCAAACGCACCCCCGTCGTTTGGGTGCGTACACGAGACCTGTGATACTGCTACCTGCAGGCACTCGGCCCACGAGGCTACCTACAGGCACTCGGCCTACGAGGCTACCTACAGGCACTCGGCCTACGAGGCTACCTGCAGGCACTCGGCCCACGAGGCTACCTACAGGCACTCGGCCTACGAGGCTACCTACAGGCACTCGGCCTACGAGGCTACCTGCAGGCACTCGGCCCACGAGGCTACCTGCAGGCACTCGGCCCACGAGGCTACCTGCAGGCACTCGGCCCACGAGGCTACCTGCAGGCACTCGGCCTACGAGGCTACCTACAGGCACTCGGCCTACGAGGCTACCTGCAGGCACTCGGCCCACGAGGCTACCTACAGGCACTCGGCCTACGAGGCTACCTACAGGCACTCGGCCTACGAGGCTACCTGCAGGCACTCGGCCCACGAGGCTACCTGCAGGCACTCGGCCCACGAGGCTACCTGCAGGCACTCGGCCCACGAGGCTACCTGCAGGCACTCGGCCCACGAGGCTACCTGCAGACACTCGGCCTACGAGGCTACCTGGAGTAACGGGCCAGGTCACCATGGCAGGCTATCTCATCTCTCAGCCTGTAATACCTCTCACTTCTATGTAGTCTTTGGTCGTCATACAATGGTAGAAATGAAGACTAGGGTGGAAAGCTATGGCGCACATCTTACCCCTTCGAGGTCAGGACAGTGTTTCAAGTCTCCTACAGTAACATCACCGTGATTAATATTATATTTTATTGTCTCTTATAAACAACTTCATAATTGCTTTACAGCAAGACGGGGGCAATAATATATTTGTTTATGGATAAGACTGATAATACATAAGGAATTGGAAAGTTTGATCTCGTTTTGTAATGGTGAATCATATCAAAGGTTTGTTTTCTTCACAGTTACCCGAATGGTTCTCGGTACTGGAGTTTTCTGCGTACTTCGTGGCGTACTCCAACTCTGCTCTCAACCCCATCATCTACTGCGGCTTCAACGCCAACTTCCGCCAGGGGTTGATGTCGCTGCTCACCTGTCGACACTCGGCCTCCAGTAGGATGTACCACCAGCGTGAGTACTCCTCCTCGTGCTGGTACTCCACAGTCATGCTGGTACATCACCCTCATGATGGTATGTTGACCAGACCACACACTAGAAGGTGAAGGGACGACGACGTTTCGGTCCGTCCTGGACCATTCTCAAGTCGATTGTGAATGGTCCAGGACGGACCGAAACGTCGTCGTCCCTTCACCTTCTAGTGTGTGTGGTCTGGTCAACATACTTCAGCCATGTTATTGTGACTCATCGCCTGCTCATGATGGTACATCACCCTCATGCTATATTTACACAATGACTCGGTTGCTCCTAAATTATTGTATGAGATAAAGGATATTGTTGTTACTGTATCTGCACCCAAGTCTGTAGCCGGATGTCGACAAATCTTAATACACTTATCATTTGATTCATTGGTATGTTGTAGGGTTATCAGTATCTATTCACTCTGTACCTCCAACACGGTCATCAGTAGTCCTTCACTCTGTACCTCCAACACGGTCATCAGTAGCCCTTCACTCTGTACCTCCAACACGGTCATCAGTAGCCCTTCACTCTGTACCTCCAACACGGTCATCAGTAGCCCTTCACTCTGTACCTCCAACACGGTCATCAGTAGCCCTCCACTCTGTACCTCCAACACGGTCATCAGTAGTCCTTCACTCTGTACCTCCAACACGGTCATCAGTAGCCCTTCACTCTGTACCTCCAACACGGCCATCAGTAGTCCTTCACTCTGTACCTCCAACACGGTCATCAGTAGCCCTTCACTCTGTACCTCCAACACGGTCATCAGTAGTGCTTCACTCTGTACCTCCAACACGGTCATCAGTAGTCCTTCACTCTGTACCTCCAACACGGTCATCAGTAGCCCTCCACTCTGTACCTCCAACACGGCCATCAGTAGCCCTTCACTCTGTACCTCCAACACGGTCATCAGTAGCCCTCCACTCTGTACCTCCAACACAGCCATCAGTAGCCCTTCACTCTGTACCTCCAACACGGCCATCAGTAGCCCTCCACTCTGTACCTCCAACACGGTCATCAGTAGCCCTCCACTCTGTACCTCCAACACGGTCATCAGTAGCCCTCCACTCTGTACCTCCAACACGGCCATCAGTAGCCCTTCACTCTGTACCTCCAACACGGTCATCAGTAGTGCTTCACTCTGTACCTCCAACACGGTCATCAGTAGTCCTTCACTCTGTACCTCCAACACGGTCATCAGTAGCCCTCCACTCTGTACCTCCAACACGGTCATCAGTAGCCCTCCACTCTGTACCTCCAACACGGTCATCAGTAGCCCTCCACTCTGTACCTCCAACACGGCCATCAGTAGCCCTTCACTCTGTACCTCCAACACGGTCATCAGTAGCCCTCCACTCTGTACCTCCAACACGGCCATCAGTAGCCCTTCACTCTGTACCTCCAACACGGTCATCAGTAGCCCTCCACTCTGTACCTCCAACACGGCCATCAGTAGCCCTTCACTCTGTACCTCCAACACGGTCATCAGTAGTGCTTCACTCTGTACCTCCAACACGGTCATCAGTAGTCCTTCACTCTGTACCTCCAACACGGTCATCAGTAGCCCTCCACTCTGTACCTCCAACACGGTCATCAGTAGCCCTCCACTCTGTACCTCCAACACGGTCATCAGTAGCCCTCCACTCTGTACCTCCAACACGGCCATCAGTAGCCCTTCACTCTGTACCTCCAACACGGTCATCAGTAGCCCTCCACTCTGTACCTCCAACAGGGAACTGGAGAGGCATGACAGGAGGGACGAGGGAGACGACCGTCGGCTGCTCGGGTCCAGAGCCTGCGGTGGTGCTCGAGTTCAGTTCATTCAAGAGGAACAGGTAAGTGAATGTTGAAGAGTTGCAACTTGAAGTTATGGACTTGCTCAGTGGTGGTCTTGTATTTGTATATATTTAATTCCATATTAACATTTTTATCTGTTGTTGGGCGGTTTATATGGCTGCATTTTAGCCCGAAGATGAAGTTAAACACAATTTAATTGTTGAGTATAATTAGTTTTCATTATTTATATAACATTTTAAATGAATATAATAATATTATTACTGATGAATAAACACGCTAATATTTAGGACTCGTGTGGATAAAAGATTCATTACCAGCATAAATACTTTTGAGCTGAGAATTTACATTAGATATACAAATGAAAGCGAATCTTGAGAATCGGCTTCCCGTGCTTTTTCTTTTCTGTATATAACAAACAAATGCTTATCGTCCATAATACAATTTTTTTTTTAATTAGGTTGCTAATTTAAAAATGAATGTTTTACGTTGTTTCCTTATCAGGACCTGTCAGAAGGGATCGATGAGCTGTCAGAGCGGACGCGCCATCACCACGGGCTCCACCAGAGACCTGCCACACAACCACCTCACTGACATCATCCCAGATAAAACGTGTAAGGTAATAATAATAATAATAATTCATTGTATCGGGGGACAGGCAGACAGTATATACATACAGAACATATATCGAGGTCCTCTTTTTTTTTCAGGGATATTCCAGAAAGTGGCTTTACAAGATTGTAAATACTATGCTATGTATTCTCACAAACCCAATGAACCTTCTTGTATATAAATAAATAAATAAATAAATAAATAAAAATAAATAGACAATGACGCTCACCTTGATTGAGTCTTGTTCTGTCCGAATGGAATATAGGCTCTAGGAGTAGACAAACTGGATGGTCGAGGTCCAATACTGCCCAGAAGATAAAAGGGGGCCCCCGAGATCCTCCGTACAGGGGAAAAAAATATTGCAAAATCCAGCTATAGTCTTTCAGAGGTGCTGGTGTCTACTGACTAGGCTGACTGCACGAGGAGCGGCACCCGGGGGTTATACAGAACCACTCATCCAACACTGGTAGTTGTGTAGCAGGAACAACAGTAGCAGTAGTGTAGCAGGAACAACAGTAGCAGTAGTGTAGCAGGAACAACAGTAGCAGTAGTGTAGCAGGAACAACAGTAGCAGTAGTGTAGCAGGAACAACAGTAGCAGTAGTGTAGCAGGAACAACAGTAGCAGTAGTGTAGCAGGAACAGCAGTAGCAGTAGTGTAGCAGGAACAACAGTAGCAGTAGTGTAGCAGGAACAGCAGTAGTGTAGCAGGAACAGCAGTAGTGTAGCAGGAACAACAGTAGCAGTAGTGTAGCAGGAACAACAGTAGCAGTAGTGTAGCAGGAACAACAGTAGCAGTAGTGTAGCAGGAACAACAGTAGCAGTAGTGTAGCAGGAACAACAGTAGCAGTAGTGTAGCAGGAACAACAGTAGCAGTAGTGTAGCAGGAACAACAGTAGTGTAGCAGGAACAACAGTAGCAGTAGTGTAGCAGGAACAACAGTAGTGTAGCAGGAACAACAGTAGCAGTAGTGTAGCAGGAACAACAGTAGCAGTAGTGTAGCAGGAACAACAGTAGTGTAGCAGGAACAACAGTAGCAGTAGTGTAGCAGGAACAACAGTAGCAGTAGTGTAGCAGGAACAACAGTAGCAGTAGTGTAGCAGGAACAGCAGTAGTGTAGCAGGAACAACAGCAGCAGTAGTGTAGCAGGAACAACAGTAGCAGTAGTGTAGCAGGAACAACAGTAGTGTAGCAGGAACAACAGTAGCAGTAGTGTAGCAGGAACAACAGTAGTGTAGCAGGAACAACAGTAGCAGTAGTGTAGCAGGAACAACAGTAGTGTAGCAGGAACAACAGTAGCAGTAGTGTAGCAGGAACAACAGTAGCAGTAGTGTAGCAGGAACAACAGTAGCATTAGTGTAGCAGGAACAGCAGCAGCAGTAGTGTAGCAGGAACAACAGTAGCAGTAGTGTAGCAGGAACAGCAGCAGCAGTAGTGTAGCAGGAACAACAGCAGCATTAGTGTAGCAGGAACAACAGTAGCAGTAGTGTAGCAGGAACAGCAGTAGCAGTAGTGTAGCAGGAACAGCAGCAGCAGTAGTGTAGCAGGAACAACAGTAGCAGTAGTGTAGCAGGAATAACAACAGCAGTAGTGTAGCAGGAACAACAGTAGCAGTAGTGTAGCAGGAACAACAGTAGCAGTAGTGTAGCAGGAACAACCGTAGCAGGGACAACAGTAGCGGTAGTGTAGCAGGAACAACAGTAGCAGTAGCAGAAGTATAATGTGCATCACTGCCACAGTTTAACCATTTTATTGCTTTTTATACAGAACTGGAACGGTGAAGGAAAGCTGGAAGTGAAGAACCACCTGACTCAGGTCTGCTCGAGCATCAGCGCCCCAGCCATATACACCAACGAATGTGTCTTACATACCAGCGACCCAGCAGGCCTGTCAGTCGTCCAGGGAAAGAAAGGAGGCAAGTTGAGCACCAGGACATCCAACTCCTCCAGCAGCAGCAGGAGTAGCAAGGTGTGCGGCTGCTGCGTTCTTCACTCCTCCAAGAAGGCCAACTCCACCGTCACCCACGACAATGAAATATACGAGTTAAACGACCTCCATGAAAACATTAGTAATAACACAAAGGAAGAAATATTATAAACACATCCGATGAGCACTGATGTATGCACAAAGGCACTCGAAGTGTTCAACGCATTTGTACTTGAACAGTTAAGAATAGGAGGAAAATTATGTTTAAACTATTTATGTCACGAGGAATTTACCACCAGCTGAATATTTATATTATATTTATTTAACATTATCTTAACGTGAAGCGACATAAAGCTTTGGAGAATTCCTGTAATGGAATAATTTCCTCAGTCGTTAATTCCGTGATTTTATAAATTATTTGTATGAAGTTCTTGGAATATCTGGCGCATGTTACAACGATACTGCTGTACGATACTGGTGCACGCGTAGGGTGTACTGTAGTCACAGAGCTACCTACAATACTGTATGTGTACTACATATTTATACACACGCAAAGAAACGAAAAACCACGAATAATTTATAAGCCCCGAGAGGAGAAAGTAATGAAATAGAATCTACTGTAACTATGATTCTTAACAAGAATTATTAATAAAAAAATAGCACATACGATAGATGCATCTTTTGAACCTGGAAATGACTTGTCGTGGTGGAAATCAGCAAAAAGATTTCTGCCGCAGTTATTCCATGTAATACGCAATTATAACATGCACAAGGCGACCGAAAAGTCTCGCGTCAATCAGCATAATTTTCTTTGACCAAATTAAGAACATCTATGAGACCATCTTCCATGGCTGACGACACATTAACCACTGATTCATCCTTGTGGCTTGGTAAGGATAGACGCAGAGAGTTATTAACCTGCTCGATCAATATAATCCAAACACAGGCTGACCATACACCGGCAGTGTGCTGGGAGCTGTCACAGCAGCCGGGGGCTGCGGCCAGTATGACGCTTATCTCTTGCTCTATTTATTATTTCCTATTTTTGTTGAGGATGGTGAAGAGAAACGTCCGTATGTGCCAGAGAGCCTCGCTTTCATGATAAAGATTTTCGCAAGATACCAGAATGCTGCTCTAATGAAGCAACACTCACTCACTCACGGATTTACTTGCTACTAATGAGGACCCTGGCCACCGCTGACTCATGGATTATCCACTAATGAGGCATCTGGCCACCACTGACTCATGGATTATCCACTAATGAGACCCCTGGCCACCACTGACTCTTGGATTATCCACTAATGAGGCATCTGACCACCACCGACTCATGGATTATCCACTAATGAGGCCCCTGGCCACCACTGACTCATGGATTATCCACTAATGAGGCCCCTGGCCACCACTGACTCATGGATTATCCACTAATGAGGCCCCTGACTCATTGGCTACACTATCAAGTATGCTGTATAATATCTCAGTATCTATTAATTATATTACAGTATCTCTGCAGTATAATTTAACGCGAGTTGAGATGCAGGGAACGTCTCCCTCATGCAAGGTGCGGCCTCGCACACTCCAGCGATCAACTACTCTGACTCTTGCACAACATAACTCATTTGTCGTAATGTAAGCTCTCACACTATACATATCACGATTTAAACCAATTCATAAACCGATTTAAACCAATATATATATATATATATATATATATATATATATATATATATATATATATATATATATATATTATATATATATATATATATATATATATATATATATATATATATATATATATATATATAATATATATATATATAATATATAATATATATATATATTTCTCTCTAACACACACACATCGCCAGGAAGCAGCCCGTAGCAGCTGTCTAGTTCCCAGGTACCTTGTAACTGCTAGGTGAATAAGGCCATCAGGATGAAAGAAACTCTGGCCATTTGATTCCTCCTCCGCCAGGAATCGAATCCAGGTCATTAGGACTACGACCCCCGAGCGCTGTCCAGTCCGACGCGAGACCCCGTAATGTGTATTTTCAGGGGTGATCCTTGACGTAATGGGTTCGAATCCTGGTTGGGGGATTTTGAGTTCTTAACGATTATATATATATATTAAATGCATATTTAAAAATTATTAATTTCTTCAAATAACTGTTGTTATTTCATGTAGTTTTAATGTCTTAACTTCGAGCTAGCTAGAAAATAATGTTCAAAATGTCTCCAAATATAATAGATGTTCAAGTGTTAACTCCCATAATTATGTTTAATGTGCCATTGTGTAACTGTTACATAATCTTATCGTTTGCGTAATGTGTACTATAGGATTTAACGCATTGTTTGAATACTTGTATTGAACTGATTTCTTGAAGGCGGCGGCGGTGCTGGGGGCTCCAGTCGTGTGTTGTGTGATGCAGCTATTGTGTCTGTGTACTGAGGTAATGTGCCAGTACGGTGCTGAGGTAGTGTGCCAGTACGGTGCTGAGGTAATGTGCCAGTACGGTGCTGAGGTAGTGTGCCAGTACGGTGCTGAGGTAATGTGCCAGTACGGTGCTGAGGTAATGTGCCAGTACGGTGCTGAGGTAATGTGCCAGTACGGTGCTGAGGTAATGTGCCAGTACGGTGCTGAGGTAATGTGCCAGTACGGTGCTGAGGTAATGTGTCAGTACGGTGCTGAGGTAATGTGCCAGTACGGTGCTGAGGTAATGTGCCAGTACGGTGCTGAGGTAATGTGCCAGTACGGTGCTGAGGTAATGTGCCAGTACGGTGCTGAGGTAATGTGCCAGTACGGTGCTGAGGTAATGTGCCAGTACGGTGCTGAGGTAATGTGCCAGTACGGTGCTGAGGTAATGTGCCAGTACGGGAGACATCCCAATTAATATTTACCCTACAGCTGACCACCACTTTGATTCTCAGGTCACCCTGATGTACACATAAGTAGTAGTAGTGGAAAGTACGCCAGAATGGTGCAATTGTCATTTCTTCCACTGCACCCTTGTGGCGTAAGGGTGTTTTACACTCTTTATTTTTTTTGGTCCTGACGAGCGCCTCTAGCCCAAGGGGCATTTTCTATTTTTATTTGTTAGTACTTCACAGTCTACTAATATTTTCAATCATTTGTCGTCCTCTCCCTTCTGTCATATATAATTTTTCCCAAAGGGGGATATAAACAGCTCCCTTCTAGCCCCTAAAATTTGGATCATGGGGATTGAAAGGCCGCCTCCCGTCATGCTGAAATACAGTTAGCTCAGTGACCCACACAGACACAGCTCAAGCTTAATGGTCAATGTCATCAGCCAGCCAGTCTTCACTCAGCAAGTTCCGTTTTCCGTGACAGCATATTTAACCCCATTTTGATATTCTCATTTTCGATATTATACCATAAGGATTAAAGGGCCGCCAGCCGTCAAGCTTAATGTACAATGACGTCATCCTTCATCTTTCCACAATAATCCGTTTTCTGTGATAGCATATTTAACCCCATCTTCCCACATTAAGCCCATTTTCTGTAATAGCATATTTAAACCCATTTTCATATTTTTTCCCGTTTCCAAAGGTTATTTACTCCCAGCCCATGTTAAACCCAAACATCAACTGTCCTTATTAGATAAAACTGCAGAATGCCTATGTACAAGAAGCCAGGAAAATAGCACAATGTACACACCTATATTCACCCATATCATTCCCAAATAAATTATAAAAACTTATCTATTGCTTAATTATCCCCTATTATGATCCCCTTGTATCTACTTATTCCATTCAAACATGGAATAAGTGTATAAACTCTGTATAAACTGCAGAAGACCTATTCATTCGGTGTTCACCTAACTGTAGAATGGCTTATTCGTCCAAATACTTGTAATAGAGATTAATTTTAATGCATGAAAAAATTGTCTATGACCCCAGTTCTCATATTTTCCCCAGTCCTAAATGCGAAGATCATGATCCAGGCATGATGTTTACCTGAACAATGTGGACATTTGGCTGTTGTGTCTGGCTTGTCTTGTGCTTGGCTATACATTCTTTAGTTGGATGTCTCAGGTAGTACACTCCGCATGCTGGGGCCGCATACTCCAGGGTTGGTCTTACATATGTGGTATACAAGATTCTAAATGATTCCTTACACAAGTTCCTGAATGCTGTTCTGATGTTAGCCAGCCTCGCATATGCCGCAGACGTAATTTTTTTTATGTGGGCTTCAGGAGACAGGTTTGGTGATATCAACCCCTAGATTTTTCTCTCTGTCCGTTTCATGAAGTACTTCATCTCCCATCCTGTGTCTGGATACAGACATGAGTGTGTATGTGTGTGTGTGTGTGTGTGTGTGTCTGTGTGAGTACACCTCCCCTATTTTTGACAAAGATAATTGCTATAGAAACAGTGAGTTATTGAGCACTCAACCATGGCAGGTGATTTTACAAATGCAGTTATATTATCATCACAGATATTGCATTATTTATGCTTTACATAGTAAACTTTGGTTACGGGTCCAGTACGTTTTGAAGAAGCTCCCAAATACGTCTGTATTCCAATTAGCGTATTCTGGCCACTATAACACCGAGTGTTAATACAATAGTGGACGAGCCATTAAGCTTTCTCTCTTCTCCTTTCCATCTGTCTCTCACATTATCCCCCACCCACACACCACTATAGCTATTTCCAAATTGTTTATTATCTCCATCTCTAACCACATCCCTTAACAAGTCCTTTGGCCACTAACGCGAAAAACCTGGCCAACGTCATTCACTTTGCATCTGGTCTGCATCAGAACAATAACAACGATTCTTCGCGGCAGGTATCGTATTCCAGGGACCTGCCCGAAACGCTACACGCGTACTAGTGGCTGTACAAGAATATAACAACTCTTGTCTATATCTCAAACTAAAGCAGCTTTTTACTTTACTTCAGTTTACCCCGAGTGACCGTTTTCTGTAGCGATAACCCTCCTGCCTGGGTCTCTGCCCTGGAGGCTTGTGTACACGCGGCAACACTGGCGGGTCCGGGATCGAGGCTGGTGATGGTGTGTGTGGTAGTGACATCTGCGCGGGGAGAGGTTCCGCACGCGCCGGATCTACAGCTTTAGATTCACTGTTGACTGCGTGTGTTATGAGAGGTACTGGAGGCGCCAGATCTACCGCTATACGTCCATTGGTTACCGAGTGTGTGGTGAGAGGCAGCGTGCAAGGCGCCCAGGACGAGCCCTCACAGATTCAACAAAATTGAACCCCATTGGTTAGTACTGAAATGTTTTATTACATGTAAATACGGCAGTTTATTATTTAGTCTTTTTTATTGATCACATAAATCAAGTTCTTAACAAACAATTGGTTCTTTTTTATAATCAACAACTTCACCACCAACCCAACTACCACAACCCACCCGGCAGCCACAACATCAACCAACCCTACTGCAATCAGCACAACCAGCACTACCACCAGCAACAACACAAACTCCATAACCAGCACTACCACAAGCACCATCACTAACTCCATAACCAGCACTACCACAAGCACCAACACATACTCCACAACGACCACTACCACCATCACCAACACTAACTCTACAACCAGCACCAACACTAACTCCATAACCAGCACTACCACCAGCACCATCACTTAACTTAACAACCAGCACCAACACTAACTCCATCGAGTGACGTGATGTGCAGTTCAAGAAGCCTTTTCTCGTAACTCATTCCTCATAGTTCTGGGACTAGCCTAGTGCCATACCTTTGAACTTTTTTCCAGCGCATACCAGCCTAGTGGCATACCGCTGAATCTTCTCTAACTTTGGCTTGTGTTTAACTAGGTATGGACTCCAGGCTGTAGCTGCATATTCTAGGATTGGTCTGACATAAGTGGTATACAGGGTCCTGAATGATTCCTTACCCAAGTTTTTAAAGGCAGTTCTTATGTTGGCCAGTCTAGCATATGCCGCTGATGATATCCTTTTGATGTGGGCCTCTGGGGACAGGTTCGGCGTGATATCAACCCCAAGATCTTTCTCTCTATTTGACTATTGTAGGATTTCACCTCCCAGATGATACCTTGCGTTCAGCCTTCTGCTTCCTTCGCCTAATTTCATTACCTTACACTTTCCTGCATTGAACTTTAGCAGCCATTTTCTAGACCATTCCTCCAATTTGTCCAGGTCGTCCTGTAGTCTCTGTCTATCTTCATCCGTCTTGATTCTTGTGTGTGTGTGTTTGTACTCGCCTATTGGTACTTAGCTATTTGTCCCTGCAGGATTGAGCATTGACTCTTGAATCCTTCCTTTCTAGCCACCGGTTGTTTATAGCAATGACTCCTGTTCTATTTACCGATCATATCTGTCGGAAATTCCGACACCAATTTACTAACCCCTGGCACGCCAAGGTAAAAACGGCTATGTCAGGAACTTACCGATATTACTAATTTACTAACATTATCACAGAGAATGTATTTTGTGGCTTCTCATAGAAACTGGGATGTTGACATGTAAGCAATGCCGCCATTTATACACAACATTGCTCTTGTGATAACATCAAACCTTCAGCCCAAATGTTAAATTTAGTAAAAAAGTACTATTTCGAGTTGAACTTAATTAAATGTTCAACAATTATGACGTTTCTTTCCCGTAAGTCGATTATGATAAATTTGGAACTAGTGAGAGGGTAGCGGGCTTCCCTGCCGGGAGGGAAGCGACGACACGCCATTGTGCAGATGACAGTCGAGATGCTCTGATATACCAGCTCTCTAAAGGCACACTACGCCATATTGAACACATCACCAGGTTGCTGAGGACACGCTTGAGCGAGTTCTGCATACCTTCCTGCAAAGGTTCAAGTTGAGGGAAGATAGTGTCTTCTGTTATCTCTACAAACCTTCACTAGATATAAAGAAGTATACCAGTTCCGATTGACAGATAAGTTAAAGTGATCACTAGTGCTATAGCTCAATGGGTTTGGTCGAAGGCTAACCACCCGAAACGGGTGAGCATTATCATATTACCAGTCGTCTCCTAATTATATATCTCAGGTTCTATTACTTGTATAACAACATATTTAATCCACAGGTAACCTCGAGGGGAAGGAGATAGCTACAACGAGTCATTTCTCACCCCATATTTGTCTGAACACCAAATTGTTTTGATTATATGACGTGGCTCACATGTTTAGGATGAGTGTATGACTGGAGAGTCGACAAATCATCTTTACCAGCTAAAGCTGTGTCTTGTACTTCAATAGCCCATTTATCTATAGACTAACCCCTAGTAACCTATTGTTAGTCATTGATTTATTGATAGATAGGCTACGTACATATAAATTCCCAAACGTTTGGATTGGATAAAACCTAGCAGGATAAATAATTTAAATACAGTTCACTTCACAAAATACAGTCAATTTTATTAATTATTCATGTTGGGAAAATTCCCCACAATATCTAGTTTTAAAATTATGAATAGAGTTTGTTTCCACAACCTGCTCCTCAAGTTCATTCAATTTTCCCACTACTCTCACGCTAAAAGAAAACTTCCTATGTGACTCATCTGAGTT